TGCCCTTCCAGTCCTTTCCGCTGCCCTTGGTTTACCCGGCCCTTTTCCTGCTTTCTTCTCCGCTTCCCTGCCCGCTTCCTTTTCTTCCTCCTCCCTGTCTCTCTGTCCCTCCGTCACTTTGTCTCTGTCTCTCATTCTCTCTTTCTCCCACCTCTGCTTTCCGCCGTCCCTCTTGGTTTCCCTCCGTCTCTCGTTTTGTCTCTTTCCCTCTCTTTCCCTCTCTCTCTCTCTCTCTCTCGCTATCTCTTTTTCCCTCTGTCACCCTTTCTTTTTTTCCCGTTACTTCTGTGCGTCCATCTCCGTCTCTTTGTCTCTCTGTCTTATGTGTCTTTATCCTTCGGCCCCCAAACCCAGGGGGCGAAAAAACCTGGTACCGCCGTTTAGTTGTTTTTTGTGCCTCCTTAACGATCCTGGTGTTCCTTCGGGCGTCGACCCACAAACCCAGGGCATTAAACAAAGCCTTGTATGGCCGGTCAGCTATTTTTTTGCCCCGTTAAAGATTCTTTTGTTCCTTCTGCCCCAGACGCTGGACCCCCAAACCCAATGCTAAACCGTAGAACCTGAAACCCTCAAGCCCAAAACCCTAATCCCTTAAACCCTAAACCCCTACACCCCGAAATCCTTTGCCCTAAAACCCAGGATCCAGGCGTCGCTCTCGCTCGGATTGTCTGCTGACTGCTTGCATAAACCCTCAAACCTCTAAATCCAAAAAAGCCCTAAACCCTAATCCTTACAAGCCTGAACCCCTAAACAACTAAACTCTAAAAGCCCTAAGCCCGAAACCCCGGAAAAGAAGCCTTGCTCCCAGGTAGAAGACCGTCAACCCTAAACCTCTAAACCTTTAAACCGTATAAACCCTAAACCCTAAACCCTAAAACCTAAACCCTACAGTGCCAGGTAGATGACGGTCTCTTCCGCGGCGGGAGCCCCCGGCTTCTGGCCGTTCAGCTGCTTTGCGCCTCCTTTTTCGATTAGATCTGGGGTTTAGGTTTTAGGGTTTAGGTTTTAGGGTTTAGGGTTTAGGGTTCAGGGTTTAGGGTTGAGGTTTTAGCGTTTAGGGTTCAGGGTTTAGGGTGCACGGACGGGTACCATGCTTGTAGTTGTAGATAGTTGAAGTTTAGGTTTTTGGGCTTAGGCTTCAGGGTTTAGGGTTTAGTCCGCACCAGGGATTGGGATTGAGAATTTGTCGGTGGCTTGTCTGAGCCTAAAGGGACCCTGTATAGCAGCCTTGGTTCTAGTTCGCTCTATGCGACAACGAACTAAAGCCCACCAAGCCAGTGTTAATCGTTTCGAGTTTAGGGTTTTGAGTTAGGATTGAGGAAACAAAACCATTCAATTTTTCGTAACGGCCCATCTGGTAGAATAGAGTCTGGGGTCTAAGTCGAGGCTATTGGGTTGAGTTTTTGGGTTTGGTGTTTGCGGCTGGAGTTCAGGGGCTCAAAGCATGCGAGGTGCCGTGTCGATCATCGGCTGGTCCCTGGCAGTGGTGACGCCTTTCTTCTATCTCCTTGGCGTTGCTTTCAGTGGGAGTTGGCGCCGTCCTCGAGCCGCGTCTCTTTAGTATAGTCTGCCCGGTGATTCCCCAATGAAGCTGGATCTCAAAAGGGGTCCGTGTTCGGGATAGTTGCAGCATACATTGAAGTCGTCAGTCCCTTGGTCTTTTGAAACATCTGCCGGCACAGTTAGTCGACAATGATCCTGTTCTGATTATTAAGGGCCCCATGGTAGCAAGCCCAAAACCCCCCAGCATTTGATTCCTCCCTTCTCAGGAAGAGGCTTGCGCGTAGACCCCCAAGACGAGATTGCAGGCATCGATCGCAGTTACCACGAGCGTGTCTCTTGGCAGGTGGGATTCCTTGCGGGGCGAATAGGGCTAGTTTATGGGGTTTAGAAGGTTGAAAGGCTTATGGGGTTTAGGGGTTTAGGGCTTTAGGAGAGTTCTAGACGGGTGCTGTGGAGTTTTGGCCTACCGCCCCTGACCTACATGCCTCGGATCCTAAACCTTACGCCCGGGGATCCTTCTTTCATGGAACCTCAAACCCCCCAAGCGATCCCAAACTTGAAGTCCTAAGTTTGAGGTCCGAAACCCCAAACTTTAACCCTCAAGCCCTCAAGCCCCAAACCCCAAACCCTCAAACCTTAAACCCTAAACCCAAGCCTAAAATCCGAAGCCTTCAATCCTGGAACTCGAAAGCCCTGGCAGGAGGGTAAAGTTGCCGGATCGCGCACAAGCACATTTTCAAGTCCCCTGGTTCTGAAGTTTGAGGGGGTTGGGGTTTAGGGTTTAGGACAGGTTTGCGGATTTAGGGTTTGGGGTCCACTTCAGTGCTAGTTTGACAGCTTTGCATCGTTTCTTTTATACGCCCCTAACCCGAGACCCCAAAGCCAAAACTAACTAAACCCGATACACCCTAAACACCCCAAGCTTGAGCACTAAACCCTAAGACCCCAATCTTAAACCCTAAGCCCTGACCCGAGCTTAGACCCTAAACCTTAAGCATCGGGGTACTTGGAGGTTCATGGGTAGTTATCAGTGGTTTAATATGGGTTGTAGATGTATTTTCTCCTTACTTATAATTGCCCATAACCCTAAACCCTAAACCCCAAACCCTAAACCCTAAACCCCAAACCCCCAACCCCAAACCCTAAACCCCAACCCCTAAACCCCAAACC